GCTTGGCCTTTCTTAGCCACAGTGCAAATGATAACAAGGTGTGCATAGCATGGCCGGCCGTAAAGCACAGAGCTCCATACTAAATATACATTTCTTGTGAAGGGCTCTTTCATCAACAGGAACCAGGGCATTTTCACTTGGAGAATATAGTACGAGTGGTCCAGGGCAGGCGGAGAGAGAGAGAGCTTCCCCTGACAATTCTGAACAATGTATCTGAGTGCCCTTATTGATGGAGTCTTCCTGTGGCCGAGAGCGCGAACATGCCAAATGCATGCCGCCGCGACGTAGATCCTTGCTCATAGATAGAGGCAAGCTGCGTCGTTGTGAGGAGCTGGCGTCTTTATTGCTGTATATCCTTGGTGAAAACTAGCCAGCGATGTGTGTAACCTGGGCGTGCGGTTTTATATAGGTCAAGAATCCTATCCACACTGCGGCTCAGGGGGCTCTAAGATGTTGGGTGTTGTGAGTGATTACAATTGTTTGGACGGATCCTATCAAAGCGCAACGGCTGGTTTAGTGGAAGGACAGTGTAGGGTGGTGACGCTACTTTGTAGACACATCAAGAGCTTGGGACAGTGAACCTTAGTTGTACCTTGTTCTTTACCTTCTGTGTGGTTGTGATTCATCCATACAGGTTTACACTACTTGGTTGTGTATAAAAAATATATATATAGTATGTATATTTTTGTATACACAGCTTATTAGTATAAGCCAGGGGTCATCAGCTGGAGCCATTCTCATACACAAGAAGAGACTGCAGCGCATTGTGTGCTCCCGGCCTTCCATCGCTGCAGGAGTGTAGTTCTTCCCCTCTGCATTTGAATTCATGAACACTTCATGACTCATCACTAGATCCCTGCCCCAATCGTCACTTCCTACTATTGTCACTTCCTACTATTGTCACTTTACAATTTCATACCTCGTGAGACAGGTTAGTTTTGCCCAACGGAAGATGTGTTGTTGCAATAGTAATCCTCCTTACCAATGATCTGCTATGTCTATTATATATTGGAATTTATTAAGATATTTGTATGCATGCCATTGCCTGTAGACCTCAAATTAATTTGTTAAAAAATTGAAAATGGTTGTTTTTTATCGTGGAAAATAAGTTTTAGTCAATAAAAAATTTCCAATTTCATCTTTCTTGGCAATGACAGAGATCATCTGTTATCTGTAAGTCTTCAAAAAGTTTTCATACACTGGTATTTTGGCCCATTCCTCCATGCAGATCTCTTCTCGAGCCACATTTAATCTTCAATAACCTGGCTGCAGGAAAGAGGTTTTAACTCAAAATCTCACGATACGATACTACACCCATCCATTCTTTCCAATCGCCTGATTCCTTTGCATCCTTTTCAGAAAAACAGCCACAAACAGCCTGCTTTATCCAGTACATTTCCAGGTCCATCTGAAGTTAGCTAGAGAGCATTTGCATGATCCAAAAGAACATAGTATCTTATTTTCAGAAGAAACCTAAAAAGGACTTTTTGGAAGAAAAAAAGATCAAGCATTGGAGCCGTTTTTCTGCAAAGGGATCAGGCGGATGCTATATGTCATGTAAAAGAACATGTGTTTTCTTGTTTCTTGTGGCTTAGGCCAGAAATTACAGAGAATTACGAAAACTACATTTCTGAGTTTTGACGTTATCATAGCTACCAGATTACCCTGCTGCCCTCCACCACATTGTTTGGGCTCTTTTGAATGTTGTGATGTCATATGAGCACAACCTAAACTGACACAGGCTCCCATCCATCGTTTTTAGTTCATTTTTTTGGCATCTCTAACTATTGAGGTATGGTTTGGCTTAAAAATGGTATCTTTATGGCTGAATGAAACTTGAAGTTTGTTATAAATTTGTGTTCGTTTTAATAAATGAGAGACGGTAAAACTTCTATACTTGAGTCCATAAAAGTGTTAACAAGGGCAGCAGTTAGCAGAGCATAGTAAATGTTTGATTTGGCGCTTGGTGCTAAAGCTTTATATTGCAGGTAATTTCTTGGCATGCTTTTCAGTGCAGAAGCGTATGGAAAGAAAATTAATCCATAAAAAATGCGATCCATCCTCTGAAAGTGAATCTAAAGTTGTAACTCACTAGAAGCACAATATGTGTTTTGATAACAAATTATGTTTGAATTGTCACAAATTCTCAGCACACATTGCTTTTGCGAGTTCAACAAAGAAGTCTGATTAAATGTTGACACAAAAAAATATCCTGGGCCAATTAAATTTCAAAGCAATGGGTGTTCTGGCAGAGGACAATGTGCACGTTTGCCTTTATGCCAGCTCAAACAGGCGGGTGGAAACGAGGGAGGAGCGGCAGTCTTATAATCAAAGTTTATGTGAGGTCGCTGTGATAGAAAGGAAATTGTTTCTTCAGGGACAGTTTAATGTAACAATTTTGATGAGAATTATCATTGGACCTTGCTGAGTTTTTGTTGGCTGTTAGTCTCATGTAAACATGATAGCTTCAGCAGAGTTGGTTTAAAGTCAAGAATGTACATTAATGCAAATAAATTAGATTGGTTCTTGTATACTCATCTGTGCATTCATAGGTCTGTGAGTTACAAACGTCTCCGCTGTCATTTGTAATCGTGTGCGGTTCAAATGTGACAGGACAGGAACCACAAGGGGCATTAGCGAGAAATCTATCCACAATAAGCATGGAGCTCCTCTGTGGGGTACAAATCCATGAGCTCTAAGGCAGGAGATGTTTACTAGCTGGGTTGCGGGTAGCTACCTCACAGTGGTCCAAATGCTCTTCTAATATACTGCACTTTGACTCTACAAGCTTCATCAGAATCAGATCAGAATCCAAATCATTTTTACTGCCTCGTAAATAACAAGAAGTCACAGACTAGGAAATGTGTGCAAACAAGTCAAAAGAAGAAAATAGAAGACATGGAGGCACATGGAGACGGATCCAATTATACATTTGCGAGCAAGACAGACAGAAGCCTCCTTGCTTACCATATGGTACGGACACACTTACAGACAGGCATACGTCGTAAGTGTGTCTATATGTGTGAATAGGTTTTAGGGCGGTGTTAAGATAAGGATTACATACAGTTCCTTAAAAAAAGATTTCAAAATTATTGCAAACCAGAAACTTTGTGGGCAGCATGATTATCTCCCAATTTGTGTGATGCACCTGGAGTACTGTGATTGTACTTGGAGTGCTGCTGCTTCTTGTAACCGTGTTCCAATCACGCTCTTAGCAGAATTCACGGGTATGGGGCAAAATGCCGGCATCCAGCCCGCAGGGCCGCCTTTACAGGGAACATTGAGCCCCAGGCAAAAGTGGGCGATGACCGTCCACAGCCACTATTGTCCACGGTGACATTACCCAGAGGTTAAACAGTGCACATAAACATAAGAGTGATGCGTGGTACATAATAAAGAGAAATGTTCAGTCTGTACTGACACATAACACACTGCACGTTTAGTCCATCCATTCACACGTGTCAGGCCTGTAGCTATGGGACACGGTTATTTTCACCCTGTCTATCATCTGATGCTCATATCAGGGCTATCAAATAAATTGAGTGCTGTACAGCCAAAAATCACATCAGCAGCTCTCAGAATTGTCGATTAACCAGCAACAGATCTGAAAATCTAATAATGGGCTAACCAATGTCCATAAATGTTCATAATTATCCTGAATCATCCTGGCATCAGCAAGGGAAAACTGAAAAACCCAGTGGGAGACAAAGGGAAACGTTGGGGAGAGCCACATTGAGGGAGGCAATTTTTTTAAACGTGTGATGATTGGACTGTAGTTTTCTGTATTTGTAAGACTTACGATGAATGATGATTTATTATATCATCAATAAAATTATGAAGTGTCTAATATGAAGGTGTAAGTCTCACCTTCGATTATGTGCCAAATACAGTAATCACATATTTACAGAAATGTGACAGTCATTTTTGAGTGTTCCTTTCCTTTTCATTTGTCTTACTGTTCAATTGCATTGTTGGTTTTCCTCTAAACAGAAGGAAGTGTTGTGTAAGTGGCATCTGCTGAGCTGTATTGTATTCCAGTGAGAGTAATTTATGTTTCATCATATTTTTCCCCACTGACTGAAGCTTGCAGAGTCATAGTGCAGCACATTAGACGAGCATTTGGGTTGATTATGACTCTACAAGCTTCATCAGAATCAGATCAAAATCAGAATCATTTTTGTGGCCATGTAAGTAACAGGAAATCACAGACTAGGAATTTGCATATCTTTGCTTCTTGAGAATGCTGCCTCTTCTTGTTACTGAATCATGCATTGTGGTTTATACAAACTCCAACCACCAGGTTTCAGTCAAGGAAATGCAGAACAAAATCAACAGCCGTCCATTTTCATTGTGCCTATTGCGTGATCTATTTTTTCAGTCAGTGCTTGTCCTGTTGCATACAACCCTTAAGATACAAATGAGTAAAATGTGTTGAAATCCATGCATGACCTTTCCAAAGTCATCCTAACTCCAGCCTTAGACTCGACATGACGCAACAATACCTGTGGCTCAAGAAACATTATGTTCAGGGGAACAAAATCAAAATGTCAGTGGGCACACCTCTATATTGCCCAAAAACTTTATTTCTTGTAAACTTTCCTTGTAGTATTATCCCGGTATGACTCTTGAGCATTCATTAGTGGATTGAAGCGACAGCATCTTGAAGAGAGGCTTCTGCCTTCTCCGCGGAGGGCAGTGTCACCAAACGTAATGCATGTTAATCTAAATTTCCTCCATGATGTGCGTCCCACCGCCAGCCAGCGCCGCATGTTCAAAGTCAGGGTGACCTGGGGCGCTGGGTTGTGGAGAGAGCTGAGAAAAAGAGGGGATTTTTGGTATAGGCAAGAAAACATGGAGAAGGGTGTCTGGCAGGGGACACTGATTAGATTTATAAAGCAACCAACTTGATTTTCTTAGCTTAGGGACTGCTGTACCACATTAAGCACTAACTAGAGCTCCCTGTGTCCCAGCGCTGAGACTTTGTGTGGTTGGAGTGCCGTATGCGCAGCTGCCTCTCCTCTCGCGTCTCCCATGGGTGCGATTAGATTTTGTCCCTTTGGATCGGAGCAAGATGGATTGGCCTTGAAACTGTCTTTTCCTCCTACGTAACACCCAGAGCATGACATTCACTTTAGGACCACGAAGGCCATGAGGATGAGGATATTCTGAGGAGATCTTTGTGTATTTAAATAGCGCTTTACATGGACAAAGAGTCACCAAACTTGTTCCAATTCTAGGCATTGACCTGCAGTTCTAAGCTATCCGGGAGTTAGACCTGTGAGGCGAGAGTTCAAACTGCATTTATTTTTCGCAATTTGTTTTGTTGCATTTGTTTGCATTTTCTTAACAATCTTCTTAACGAAAAAATATCATTAATAACTAGGGTTACCCAAGATATATAAGATATATAGTGATATTGTATCGTGTTGTCCCATCCCCCACTACATTTTACCTTTTAAAGGACTATTGTCTATCTTAACATAATGAATACAGATCACTATATCAACTGCTACATCCTGTAATGATACAGATGGAAAGAATCTATATCTATTGCAATCTAATTCTTTGAAAAAATGTGAAACTGTGAAAGTCATATAGGAAATGCATGAGTCAGTGAAAACAAAACAAAAACAATCAATAAGAAAATTCACTTAAGCCAAAGATTAGTTCTGAATGAGATACATCAATGTATGTGGTCTGTGTTAGAATAGCCCGAAGACAGTGTGAGTTTGTGTGTGCATTTGCGCAAAAAATGTGCAAGCCCTTGTGTATGAATTTGAGCCGTGAGTGGCTAGAAATTGCAAGGCACCATTCCTACCAATAAAACACCAAAAAGCAAGTTGTAGACAATACATCACCAAGGCAGAAACCCTCTTCCAAGCAGTTGACGGATGATGAATTCAGGCCCTGATGGCTGCTCTCTGGGGCAGCATTGTATCATCTTCCCCTTGTCTCCAGTGGCACATTTCTCAGCCGCTTCTCCACTGTGTCCTGCAGAAGTGTCTGTGGGCTGTGGGGATGAGTCTGTACGGGCGAGCAGAGTCTGCCCAGGGAGCATTTTTCTTCATTTGAGTCTTGCTGTGTGTCTGCCAATACTATATGGATTTACTTTCAGTTTCTTAATCATGACTGCATGATTGGGAAAGTGACAGGATGCTCTGATACAAAACTCTACTTCAATGTAGTCTCTGTAAGGCCTCACACTATTAGAGTGCCATTTGAACAGACTGTGGTGCTTCGCTGCACTTAACTGAGCCAAGTTTGGTGCAGTGAGAGGTAGGCTGCCTTGAATGCAAAAAACAAACTAAACTGAACACAAACTAAATGTGTTTTATATAAGAATATGAGAGTTCAATCCCATTCCTTACAAAAAGTAAAGCTCAGACAAAAACAAACAAGGCATCATGACTTAAGTGGCAATTCTCCTGCCTCCCTGCCAGACTATTTTGTGATCATTTTCTGGCCATAATAGGACACTATTAAAATTAGATTATGTCTGTTCTGTATAGCCAGCGGAATTGTCTAAAATAAAGGGTAATGGAACCGTCCACATATAAACAAACAGAAAGAGCATCCAAATAATGGATATTGACAATTTTCCCTTTTCTATATTGTTCTGCTATTGCTGTTGTGTGATACCATGGGATTTATACCATTGCATTGACTAGACAGAGCATTTACCCCAGAACCGAACTAATCCATTCCAAAGCTATCAAAACCTTAAATGGAGCCATCGACCATCCCTGCACCTGACCCCCACGAAGCCCTCAGCACGCCATTTGTGAAATATAGCCCTAACATGAACTGTTGATGGATGATTTTGAAAACAATTATTTTGCAATGTTACTAAAATGTGATTCTTTCTTAAACAAAAACAAATACAATTGTAAAGAACTGACATTCATCATGGATTCCGGCTGTCCGTATCTTTAAAATGAGGATGGAGCTGAAATTGTTTAAATGATGATTGATTATTTTTTCTCCTAACTGATGTGGATTGAAGTGAATTATGCAGACACTCTTGTTTTGATGTATAAAATGTTAGCCATGCTTAGTTTAGTTTAGGGGAAAAGAACAAAGATTTTCTGAAAACATTAATCAGTTTGCATTACCAATGTATTTCTAAATGTAAAGTGTTTTGTTTTTTTCTTTTTGTCCAGCCCTAATATTGTCCATCAAAATTAGTTATCATGACAGGCCTGCACCATTTTACTCTCCCCACTCCTTGTAATGGGTCACTAAAACACCGTGACTCACCAGATAAATCCAAGGAATATTGGAAGAATGTCTGTGGAGGCGTGTTTCTATGTGTGTGATATCGCTGCATGTTTTTGTCCAAGCCTCATGAACGTGTCGTCTTGTCTGTGCTCAGGTCAGCCGATGGTGTGTGCGCAGCGGGGACAGTGGTGGTGAGCCGTCTAAAGATGGGGGAGATGGAGGAGGTGGACGTGGACCACATCACCACAGACACATCCTCTCAGAAGGTAACCGAGCTGAAAAAGGCTCCGCTCATGTAGAAACAGGGGTTAGGCCGAGTGTCTGACTTGCCATGTTTCTCAAACCCAAGCAATCTTTCTCCCTTGAATAGTTCTGCATTTGTGACCGTGATCTTATCTCTCCACCGCTTTGTTTTGATTCTATATATAGCTCAAATAAATTCAACACATGAAGGCTTAGCAGTAATGAAATGTATTACTTAAGCAGCTAAGTCCGTGAAGACATTCATCCACTAAATCACCCGGAATAGCATTAGAATGAACTAATTGAATCAAAGCATTGGGTATCAGTGCCAGGCCAGGAACATTTGTTGGCTCGAGTATTGGGTCTATAACAGCAGATAAAGCTGGGGTACCTAACTTTCACACCACAAATACAGAAGTGTTTGCTAAAATCCCTTTACAATGCAAAGATAATGATACATAATATACGGTAATAAATGCTTAAATGAAGTGGTTTCCAATGAGACAAACAGTTTACTCTGATTTCAAGTGCAGTTGCAACTAATTTCTCAATCCAAGGGAACAATTTTCTTCAATTTTCTTTTGTGCTATAGTCCCATTGGCAAATCTTGTTTAGAGACAAGAAAATGTAGACAAATTAAGGTACATAGGACAATTTTTTACTAATTCTTTTGTGTTCTAGATCTAGTGAGAGAAATGTCAGATTTGACGGGTAGTTTTCCCATGTATTTCTGTCACATGTTTTGGTCTGGTTTGTTCACTTTACTTTTAAACAATTATTTTGGGACAAACTACATGCCGGGGGAAAGTATGGTACACCAGCTTTAAGCAAATACAAAGATTGTGAATGAGATCCTTTAAGTGGAGGGTAAGTAAAACATTTGAAATAGATATTATGCAGTAGTCCACACAAGTATTCCAATTGCAAATGCCTCAGCATCAGTCTCCTCATCAATATGTATGAATTTATATGTTTGATACAATTTTAGAAGCAGGTTTTGATTAATTTAGGTGTCCTTCTTGCCTCTCAGCAAGAAGGTCCTGGGTTCGAATCCCGGTCGGACCAGGGCCTTTCTGAGTGGAGTTTGCATGTTCTCCCCGTGTCTGCGTAGGTTTCGTCCGGGTACTCCGGTTTCCCCTACCACTAAAAATATGTACAATAAGTCTGGCATGTGCCTCCTGTTCGGCGACCCCGCTCCCATCTCTGTGTGGAGTGAGAGGACAAGTGCCCAAAAAATAACAAATGTAAACCGCTTTGTGACTCTGGTCTGTGAAAGGCGGTATATAAATAAAGATTACTACTTACTTACTAAAAGTAGCCAGGACAATTGCTGCGGCACTTCACCAGATAGTTCTGGTCTTCTCCAGTAAAAAAAAAGAATCTCGCTCAACGTGACTTAAGCACCAGCAGCACACAGTCTTTGGTTCGCCTCAATTTTTCCCGTTTGCTCAGCGCTTACTGGGGTTTTATGTGGAGTCCTTCGCTAATATTCTTCCCGCGCAGTTTATAACGGACACTGATACTTTTGTCACAGCCTTGTACTCCATGTAACCCCAGTATGTCCATGAATGAAAGGCTCCATGCTTTACGTTGCCGCTTGTAATATTTACAGTTTATCTCGTGGCAGTGGTTAATTTTTCTTACGTCATTCATTTGTCAACGAGACAAAAGTCACAACACTTACGGTTTTGTAACGCATGGTAAATCAGCTTGCTTTGAAGAAAGTAAAGGTGATCACAATACTTTTTTTGCGGATGTAATCCCTTACTTTACTCGTTATTCGTTTTCACCTATATTTGACTTTGAGGTCGCTTTGGCTGGTTTCAGTCCCAGTTGACACAATCACAAAGTTCAAGACTTTTTTTTAACAAAATCCTTCTGGCCTGAATTTGCCGGAACTCTATGCTTCGCCGACTTCCAAGCTCTATTGTCTTTCTATCAATACGCTGAATTCCAAGAACATACAGTACAGACTTGCACAAAACTCTCATTTTTCAAACATTTATGTAAAGTGCCCTTGTATTCAGTGGGGAACGTTTTAACCGACTATTTACCGCCTTCCAACTCCCCAATATACTTTTCAGTTCACGTTAGGTAAAATCCGAGCTGGGAATAGACTTCCCGGAGACTGTGTTGAAACCAGCAGAAGTACGTGCCTTCTGCTCAACACGGCGCAGAGTAATGCTGGGATTAGAGTGGCACTACGCGAGTCCTCCAATGAGATTAAATAAACTCAGCTAAGTCGTAATGGGGCTTAGACAGAGTGTGTATGTGTGTGGATGTGTATGTGTGTCTGCGTGTGGATGTGCCATGACAGTGATTCAGCCTCCCATTGTGGCTTTACACTCGCCGGAAAGGTTCAAAGAGCATGTGGCCAATTTAACACAGTGGCACACAAACACTTTTACTGCCCTGTTAGACTGGTGTTTTTGGTCAGAGCTCTTTCCACAGATAGCTTCATTTATCTGTTCGAATGGCTGCTCTCACCACCCCCTCAGCTTTAATCTCGCACCATACATACTGCTTAAGACGGCTCTGAGGTAACTCACAGGCGCAGTGGAGGGAAAAGAAACTGTTCTCTTAGTGGGAGAAAAAGAAGATTGGTTCATTTTTGATGGGATGTCTCGACTCCAGACATAAAGTTGTACGTATTTTTGTTATATTCTTGACATCCATATCTAAATTGTACTGAAAATATGTGGAAATACCTGAGAACTGCTGCTGTGATTGAATACTTATGCACTTTTCTGTTTTTTGAAAGTAGCCTTTTGTTACTTCATTGTAGTCTATCACCAATAAATGTTTTATGGTTGGTCGTAAACGTGACAAACATTATTCTTTTTAGGTGACACGGTAGCGCTTGTGCTTCACAGCTTCTGTGTCTGCATAGGTTTCCTCCGGGTGCTCCGGTTGTACGATATGGATGAATGTAATGTGTGATAGAATGGATGGATGGAGATGGCCGGAGGCTTCTCATTTCTGTAATCACTGCATGAGGAGTGAACGAAAATGACTGGTACATTAAAGTTATCAATGAAATGGAATGGAATGGAATCGATGTCTCACAACATGGAATAACAATAGGCTTTAATGGTTTTGTGAACTGGCAGCACTAAACCATAGTATCATCCTGGTTTTAGATTTTGATATTATGATATAGGACAGGGGTCGGGAACCCAAAATGTTCAAAGAGCCATAATTGACAAAAAAAACTAAAAACAACATCTGTCTGGAGCCGCAAAAAAATAACAGCCTTGTATAAGGCTTTTATGAAGTTAACACAGGCTGCAAGATGTATTAGCTATATTAGCCTAATATCTAAATGACAAAGTAAAGGCTACAAATACATAATAATCATTCATGTTTATCAAATGTGTATTTTCACTGCAGCGTGTCGCACCACGTGTGTCGTGAATGACGCAACACGTGACGACTCTGCTTTAGTTTAACTTCCATTTTTTTGCCTTCATGTAATTATAGAAATACAGTAAATCAATCTGCTTTGGGCTCAGAGGTCACATACCTGCATCACTGTCTGTTCATATCCATCACGTCACAGGCTGAAGTTTGCTGGAGCTGAATTAAAATCCTTAATGGCCTTTTCTTTCACCGTCTTTGAGAAGGTTTTGAAGTCTGAAAATAGGTGCTCTGAATTTTTGATGAATGAATCCTTCACGTAATCACCGTTTACGTCGTTTTGCGCTTCATTGTTCCTCTTGTTGCAACAAAACTTTTCATTACAAACATGAAGCAGTCCTTCCTCATTGACTGAAAGAAAATGTTCATTCTCATTCTTAGTCCAGTCTTGTTATCGACTCTTTCTCGTTTTAGCTTTGGGATCCATGTGCACAGTCTATGATGCACACACGCCAGTTTGTTTACAGCAGCGGCCGCATGGGGCGGGGCCGCGTGACCGCGCGTCATAGGATATGACGCACTACGTTGACAGAAATGTTGAAATTAAATATTACTTATACACATTTTTACAGCATTTAAAAACGTAAAGATTGTGTTTCCTTCTACAGAAACCACATTCAAACAAGAAATAAAATATAGCCCTCACACTCCATTTTCAGACATGTTTGAAAAGGCTCCAGGAGCCACTCCAGGAGCACTCAAGAGCCGCATGCGGCTCCGGAGCCGCGGGTTGCCGACCCCTGATATAGGAAAATACCTCATTTCCATTGTGTGTTTAAAATAAGCTAACACTAACTACTGAAAATGTTAGCCAGGTTTCTATTCTGACAATATTCAAATCAGGGTCGAAAACAGTTATTTTTGGCGGCACATCAAACTGAAGGAGTGTATCTTTTTACTCTGATAAATCATTATTTTTATATGATTTTGCTTATCTTTTGTTTGTTAAGCACTTTGGGTTTCCTTGTGTATGAACCATGCTATTTATGTGTGTGTGTGTTTGTGTTTGTGTCTGAGTGTGTGCACGCATGTGTGTGTCATATATAACTGACCAAGGGCTTCTCTATGGCTCAGTGATTCGGGTTGTACGGTAAGGTCCCTGCCAGGCTCCGGAGTGTCACTGACAATCTGCCCATGTCTTCTTGATGAATGTGTTGCCCAGCTCCACTATGCTTTATGTGTGGATGTTGCTGGAAATCGGGGAGTAGAAATGTTTTGGCTCTTGTTCATCTAAAAGTTGTTGTTTTTTCTTGATATATATGTTTGTTGTGTAAAGTTAGTCATTAAAGTTTCCTATTACGTTGAAACATGGCTGTAACGAGTATCAGTTGTTTGATCAATTATTCACAACTAACCGTTTATTGAAATAGTTTTCATCTGATTTACTAATCGAGCATATTTTTAACCTCAAATGATTTTGTGAGTCAGCAGAATAAAATTAAATGAATCAAAGTCATTTCTATGAAGAGCATCAACTAGTTAAAAGTAATATCTGTGGAGAGATGAGTATTCTCACTCTAACAATCCCTCAATCCAAAATTGAGGGATGTACAAGTTTTCCACTAGCAGGAATCCATTCACTTAAAGGTGCATCTATTCACCACCA